TGTTCCGGAGTCACAGGTGACGTCGATGTCGCGCGGACCGGTGTGGCCAGCACTTCCGGCGTGTAGCGGTGACTCGTGCGCTGTGCACCTTGTGGGCGCCTCCACCACCCAAAGCGTAAAGACCAGCCGCCACCGTCGCCCGAAACCAAAAGCCAAAGTTCGACCATCGCCGCCGTTGCTGTTGCTAGATCCGATGTTGCACCCACTAGCGACAGAGGCAACTGTAGCCGTTTTCACGACGGGCTATCCGGCGAGTGCACCTAATTTGACCAAATCTGCACCTAATCTCTTTTACAGCAAATATCTTTATTTTATGAATTTATTTCAGTGTTTTAATCGATGATGCTCTCTGTTAACATGACAAAGCAGGCATACCTAAACAATTAGTGCAACCCTAGCTGATAGCTACTAAGAGACACACTGAGCCTAATTTGACCAAATCTGCACCTAATCTGCACCAGATGTGCACCAAATGTGTACCAGATGGCCGTCGTGAAAACGGCTAGTGTGAACTTGCCGATAATGAAAATCTACACACCACTTTCACATTTCACAACCTTTAACGAATATTGGTATAAACGTGCATCTTGGCATGTGGAATGGCCGTTGGTTTGCCCCCTGTGCGATGGAGGGTAAATGCCGCTCGGGTGGGGGTTAAAAACAGGCGTGGCGGCGGTGGGGTAACGTGTGACGGTAACGGGTGACGGTGACGGCGCGGTCTCCCTCGCGACTCGGCGGAGCCTAGCAGCGGATGTTGGCGGCACGTGGCGGCCGGCCGACTGCGGGTCGTTTGCTCACCGTTTTTAGGCCGTCACTAGGCGACACTGGGCCGGAAGTGACCTCCGCGGCCGGGCTCGGTCGGACGGCGAGCGGCGATGAGGGAAAGCTCGCAGCTGCGCCCGCCTGCCTGCTGGCGGGTGTGCCGCGCCGCACAGCGCCGGGGCAGTGGCTCCAGCTGGCGATGCTTTGCCTGTTAGCCGGGTGCAAGTCGCAGTGGTGACTGGAGAGAAATGTCAGGTGTCTGCTGAGCAGTAAGCGACAAAACGTTTATATCATTGACGTATTCTTTGAACCACAATGAACACTTATATTGCCTATATGGCATTCAACTCCGCTACGGCTAAACTCTAACTTGAGTTAGTTTCCAGCAGTTGGCACTACTGACATCTACGCTTTCAATTCCTAGCATAAAGTAGAATACACCTTCTGCCTTTGCGCTATATCGGCACTTACGTTTAGGTCAAACCCATTCATTCTTCAGTCTCAAGTATCTGTATTGTTTACGTCCAACGTTCTACGCTCACTCTTGTGACTAATCCAATGTTTCTTACAATATTCGATCGACTTGATATTTTCCCCTCCGTCCACGGACAGACTTTGGACGGACGTTTTCTGTTGCTTGCTGACGTGTCGCTCTGTACCGACGCTCTCTGCTCGGTCGGTCGGGGCGGGTCGACCGGCGCGGCGGGTGGCTGGCAGGGCTGCGGAGTCGGAGTCGGAGTCGGTGTCGGTCGGAGTCGACAATTCTGACCGGAGTCGGAGTTGGAGTCACCGGGAATCCATCGACTCCGCAGACCTGGCACGACTGCAGAGTCGGAGACGGAGTTGGAGTCGGTCGGACTGGATAAGTGTGCCTGGAGTCGGAGTGGAGTTGGCTTTTGAAAGCCGGAGTCGAAGTCGGATCCGTCGACTCCGCAGCCCTGGTGACTGGTGACCAGTGAGCTCTGTCGCTCGACCGGCGCGGGTCGACCGGCGCTGCTCGGTACGAGGTCCGTCGGCGGCGGCGCCGAGGCCTCCGGCCGCGTCCGGAGGCCTCGGCGACCGTCCGCAGCCCGGCCGTCGACGCGCGGAAGTCGTTTCCGCTCCGGGGTCGGCCCGGGTCCGGTCCGTCGCGGTCCCGGGTCCTGTTTCCTGGAGCCGGCTCCGAGTCGGCACTGGCCAGGATCTGGCGCGCGTGTTTGCACCATTCTTTGTTTGGGGTGGCGGCTAGTGTTTTCAGTTCGAACTCGGAGATCTGTCATTGACCCGTGCTGGCCTGAACCAGCCCTTGTGTCAACGTTGGCGTGGATGGAAATCCTTTGGTAGCTCTTACCAACGGCATTGCAAAAATTTGGCGATTTTTTCTCTTTAGATAAGCCAAAAGCCTTAGCGAGTATTGATACCATACCAACCAGCTATTTCATGTTCGTGGGTGTTAGGTAACACGCATCTCTACAGCTTTGCAGGTGATAAATTTGGCTTCCATATAGGACGTCTTTGTGGACATTCATCATTTGCCGTTCTTCTAACAGGCAGCAGGTATCTCCCCCAGGACTTACTGATAAATATATTTTTGAAGCGAGTCATATCCACTTATCTGCAAAGCTTTGATCAGAGACTATAAGACAGAATCTTTTGCAGCGAATCTAACATCCTGTGCGACCGCCGACCTCCTCGCTACCCTCCAGCGACCACATCCTGTTCGCGCCTCCCCTCCCCTGCCCCGCCCCTCGGAGCTGTGGTCAGGGGCCGCCATGTCAGTGATGCCTCCCCCCTCTCCTACCCCAACCAGACAGCAGAGACATCTGTCGACAAGCAGCGCAAACAGGATAACACCGGCAGGCAGTTGCAGACACTCAAGGCCACTGCGAAATGGCGCCTGGCGGAGTGGCCTATTTCATTATTGCTGGCACGAATGGCATGTGCTTGATTCCGTCATCCATTCAAATGTGCATTATTGCGGCCTGACCAAAAATAACACGCTGACATGACGGCGAATCTTTATTTCGAATCCGGGCAAATCCGAAGGGTTGGGAGAGCGAGGCCATGAAACCCTTCCTCCGCCTTTTCATCGTCAGACCTCAGGGTGATCTGATCGGGCGTAGGTATGTTCTTCCTTTTCCGCGCTGATAGTCAATTCACCAAGGTATAATCGAGCATGGGCAGTTCCAATTGGAACTGATGCCACTCGGGAGAATATTGAGGTCGAGGGACGACGCGGCCGAGGGTTAAGTATATCATCTTCCCCTATCTTCCCCTATATATGAGCTTCCGTTTCCCTATCACAAAAAGGAAAAAACGGGATGTCTAAAAATGAAATGAATGATATTTTGTAGGTTGTTAGTAGATAAATACATGAATACATTCATCCCACAATATAGTTATGTCCCAGGCACACTTTATGTTCAATAGTCCAAGAAAATTAGGTAGCAGATACCCACCTCTCGAATGAAGGCCGTCCCATCCCAAGCCTTCTACGAAGCTGTTGGCACCTGGCAACTTGGGTGTGTAGTGTGGACCTTCATTAGGATTCATTGTGTTCTCATAAAAAGCAATTTGCATCTAATTCAGGGCTGCGGAGTCGGAGTCGGATTCGGAGTTGGAGTCGGAGTCGGTCGGAGTCGACAGTTCTGCCCGGAGTCGGAGTTGGAGTTAACGCTGCCGGCTGCATGGCTCAATAACGTAATGCACTGCAGCTGTTTGATTGACGATACTGCACGCTAGAAATTAGATTTTGTCGAAAAAAGGCAATTTTGCTGTTTTGGACGAACGTTTCAAGAGAAAGAAGCAGAAGACGGTGAATTCTCCAGAACTTGCTTTTCATTCTGCATGTTATTTTCAACGAATATTAGCAAAGCAACGCCAAGCCTTGGCACGCACAAGGGATCGTTTCAGGCAAGATAAAACATCTCCATTATTAACTTCAGGATCATGATATGAATTTTAATAGAACCGTCTGGAGTCGGAGTCGGAGGGGGAGTCGGAGTCGGAGTCGTTTTTTGAAGCTGGGGTCGGATTCGGAGTCGGAGCCACCCTAAAATCTATGGATTCCGCAGCCCTGGGCCATCTACATATATTTCTTTGGGCTTATGTTAGGTGCATCGACTTAAAGTGACACTCCCACCTTAACATTAGTTTTGAGTTGAGATAGCCAAATTGGTGGCCATGGCCTGATAATACCGGTTTGGGCACTCACAACATCGAGAAATGATTTAATTCAGAGATATGGAATTTCAAACTTGCAGTTTTCGGATTCTATGGGGCTAATGCATTGGTATGCCCCTTTAGAATTTGTGACGTCAGCGGAGATCTAACGATTTTTAAATATTTTACTAAAACGTTTGGTAGCACGCGGTGGTATATGCTGCTTTGCGCGCAACAAATGCCGGACTTTCAAATAAAGTCGCTAGGAACAGCGGAGATCCCAAAAAGTAAACGAAAGTAAAAGTCTAATATCTTGAAAACCGGTGAATATTTTCGATGAAATTTGGTAGATATTCGTTTTCGATATTTCTGAACCAAGCGACATCACTTTCATGCCAATTCATTAACATTTTTGAAGGTGGGAGGGTCCCTTTAATGTCATCTCCTTATCTTTAACTGTCTACTATGTACTGTCTATAATGTGTTGATAAAAATCATTGAAGACATGTAATCCCGGGAGCTGAATGAATCCTCGAATTTAAATTACTCCGAGACAATTTAAAAGCTGTAGGTAGTATTATAATATAATGCACATGGAAAGCTAGTTTTTTTTTGTATAGTTTAGAGTACCCATCTAACGCTTTATGGGTATGCTTATTTACAAATTGGTATTAACTAATTGCTTGAAGTGGTGTTGACGGCGTAGGTGCACTGTTTTCACGGCACAAGACACTTTTTACGTTTCCATGGCAACACGCTGCAATTCCTTTCTGCAAGACATGTCAGGGCGCTAAGGAAAGCGTTTTCCATGAAACCTAGCGCCTTGATATTTGTTTTGCTGCCATGCAAAGAACACGATTATACCATGCACATTGTGCACTCAGAAGGTATGTCTCAAGAACAAAGCAGAGTGACTTGCGCAACAACAATAACTTAAAAAATAATTCAGAATAACTCAGAAACCCAACATATCCTGCCTGTGCCTATAAAGACTAGTAACTGTTTGCTGGTGATGTTTTGCACGAGGTCAGCCTGTTGCGCCGTACTTTGATGTCGTTTTCTATGCTGTATTTCAATGCCGTTCTGTCCCGTTTCAGATTTGTCGGAGGCAGCCTGACGATGACATCCACCGCCGGGGAGACTCCAAAACTCCTCCCCTTCGCTGCCCTGCGAAATGCCACATCGGTCATACAGTCGCGTAAGTATTCTTACTCACCTGTCCGTGATTTGGAAACGAGATATCAGAGCCAAGCAAATTGATACTCATTAAGATAAGTAAAACGCCTTTTGGGCGAAGAACGAGCGAGCGAGATAGTGAGCCCTGCACGTGCGAGTGCAGACATTAGTGTAGATACAGAGTAGAATGTTGATCTTATCATTCGTTCTCGTTTCTCACATCCCAATATATGTAAAGTGAAAACATGCAATGATAGATAAGTACAAAATATTTGCTAGGATGCTACAAGAGCGACATGTCGACCTTATGGAAAAGCGTAGGTAGATAAAAATCATGTTCTAGGCATTGTTGGCTAGAGAGCGTAACTTTAAAGGTTAAAACGCACACGACGCGCGCTTTAGCCAGACAAATAGGTATAAAGGCCTGGCTACACTATGCGTTTTCTGCGTGCGTTTTTTGCGAGTTTGCGTGATTTGCGGAATATCGTTCTAGAAAGAAACGACATTACGTTTTTGTTTTATGTTTTCCATATAAACTTTTAATTAACATAAACGTTTTATTAATTTTTATATAAATATTAAAGAAGTTTAATTAATAATAACCTTTTTTCTAAAACGATATTACGCAAAACCCGCAAACACGCAAAAAACGCACGCAGAAAACGCATAGTGTAGCCAGGCCTTAACCTGAAAATTGCAAATGCGTGTGCCGCACTTGCATTGCTGTCTTTTCTCGACTCTTGCACAAGAAAAAAGCTTTTGCCTTAGGAACGCCTTGTTATTTCCTTGCACGCTATTAATTCATGCGTAGCCTTTTTATCATTTTGTTTGAAAGCGAAGCAAAAATTATCACGTGTGCCGATTTACTCATCTTGTTCCATTTAATTGAGACCCCACTTCATTCGGTTTCACTCTCTGTGACCCTTCTTCGGTCTTCAATTTCAGCCATCAGCTCCACGTCTCGGTCCTTGTACCGACCCTCTCAGCCGCCCCCTGACGTGGCGCCGCAGCACGACGGCTGGCCGGTCATGGACGCTGCTCACCCGGGTAAGTCCTTCACCCAGGGGAAGTCGGGAGATATCTGCAGAAGTGGGGAAACAACGGTGGACTGCGCTAGAGACCGAACATCACTCGTAACGATTATAATTAGAAGTTACATTTCCAACGGATTGAATTTTTGTTTTGTTTTTCACTCTGTGCGCCATTGATTGAAAAGAAAGTGTGTCTTGACAATTGTCTCGCCCATGCTTCCATGTCCTGTAACCTAGCAATACGGCGCTGGGTTGTTTTTCTTAACTACCGCTGACAGTTTTGTTTTACATTATTAACCCTCCACCCTCCTTTGTAGGTATTCGATTGTGTGTCGCTTGCACTCGTTCCATCATATCCTACCCCTTTCAATCCCTCTCCATTTCATCAACTCCTATACAGCCCCATTCCACCCGTCTTATGCTGATACATGCACGTTGCACAATGCACAGTGCACATATCATTCTAATACGGCCTGCTCCGTCGCGGCCCGTCGCCGGCTACGCCCTCTCAGCGCGCCCGGCCCGCTGCGCGGCGGTCTGGCCTGGCCCATCCCGCCCCGTCCCGTCCCGCCCCGGCTCAGTCCGCCTGATAAGATAATGGGATCGGGCAGGTGTAGTACCGAGGTGTGCCCACATCGATCGCCAGCGAACAGAGAGCGCTATACGCGGCAGTTAGAGGGCAATTTCAACACGGTGGTGGGGTACTTAAATACCACTGCGTCGCTCAGATGTCAGTAAAATCGTGACGGAAAGCCAAAGGCTTGGCTTTCTCGATTCGATGATCCATGAAAGGATTCTTTTTATGAAATTGCATCAGAAAAGAGTTTTGGTCAATAAATGCACAAATAATGTGTAATTTCATGCAGCCTGGGTGTTGTTTCAGTGTTAAACGTACACGTAGTGGAGGCTAAGTATACACATACTGCAGGTATAGGCTGTAATACCAGCCAATACCATTGAAATGGTAAATAGTAAATACCACTTCAGCGAAAGTAGTAGGCCGACAAATCAAACTGCCAGCCGTGTCCGCTAGAATGAGCCCCATCGCTTATTAGCATCCCCGCCAATATGGTCACCACAAATCGTACACGGGAAAAAGAACACATGATGTCATCATTCTCACACAGTGCCTGTTCAGAGCCTCTGTGTGCTCGATCGGAGCGAGCGCCGTCGCCGTTCTGCGCTCGGAGCCCTCCCGTTATCATTCTGAGCTCGGATCCTATCAGACGTCGTGTTGAACAGCGTCGTTATCTGGTGTGGCCGCTTGGCCTCCATCAGTATCGTGGGCTCGAGCTGAGGGCACACACGGCGGGCCGGTGGCGACAGAAAACAAACCGGCCTCAGGTGCGCCGGGCGACACGGGAGTGGGACGCGGGAGTGGGATTGGGGACACGGGAGCGGTGGGGAAAGGGACACGGGGTAACGTTAGAGGGCACTGGGTAATGGAGGGACACGGAGGTGACAGGGAAGCGCACGGGTGAGGTGAGATTGACACACGTGAACAGTACCTATGTATAGGCACGGGATGATGGAGGAGGAAAACAAACCAGTCGGCGGTTTTGCTTGATCACCTTATGCAAAGAAACTCACCGCGTCAAATGTCGGGTAAGAGGGAAATGCATCTCATTTTACGGAAATTCGGGGACTTTGCCGGCCTATTTTCTTTGCTGAGATACGACGCCGTCAAGTGACGCTTCACGGAAAATGCCGAAACAGCACTATCCTCTTCCGCACGTCAAAGATTGGCGGCGCTCGGCGCTCGCGGAAACTCCCCGATACCAGGAACCACCGGAGCTCCACTTGTCCGCCGATCTTGGGACAGTGCTATCAAATATCAGGGCACTGTCGGCCATCTGCTCGCCCGCCGTGGCTAGCACCCGGTCGTGCTGTCGACACGTGTAGAACAAACAGCCCCATGCGGCGTGACGAGGATCCTCGTTTGCCGGAAAGTGCGGTCCGACACTTGGTCTGATGCAGTGTTGAGCACCTAACCTCCCGGCAAGTGTAGGGGCATCTGAGGGGAGGGTTCATCAAGTGCAAGTTCCGAAGTCCACGATCCGCGACGTCGTCGCATATTACGACCGTCGACCATGACATTATCACGAACCAGCCGTCCAGATTCTAAGATAAAACCACCGGCGTTGGCGCTGGGCAGTCAGGATTAATTCCACCCCACGTTGCATCTTTTCTCGTATTTCGTCGCGCCTCGACCTCGTTTCCCTCTGCCCGCCGCTGACGACGCGGCGACACCATCGGACGAAGTTCCGGGAAGTGGTTCGGTAAAGTAATCTTGGTTCGGTCTGCGGGAGAGGGCTACCGGCGCAGCCGGCGCCCAGCGGGTTTCCCTCGACTTCCTCGGCAGGCTGCATCGCACCAGCGCAGGGGCCCCAACTTCCGGTCAAAAATAGACCAACCGCGCTACTTTCCTCCATGCCCATGCAGGGTTTTTCTGTGATAAGACTGAAGTATATTTGCAGCTGGTTTGGATAAATTCATTGCAGTCGTGTAATTTATTGCTGCATTTTGCCTATTTGATTTGCCCTATTTCAAAATGTGGTATTTTCAGTTTCAGTTTCAATGTTATCATGTTTTTTATTAATGTTACTGTACATTTACCTTTCCAATAATGATGCTAGTGTAAGCAAAACGAATCATGTTCAATCTATCAATTAATAATCTACAGGTGTAATGATGTCATCCAGACGAATTAGCTCCCTTCTACCCGCCTCACTAAGATGTAACCTCGCCTTAGATGTAAGCAGGTGTCATCTCTGTTTTTCATCTTTTCGATCGAGTTTTGCAGCTCCATGTGACCTTCATACCCTCTGAGCTTATGAGCCCAGCTCCAGGGGCTTACCGAGTATGGCAATGAATAGTTTCGCCTGCGGTGATGATTTCATTACTTGATAAGTGAGGTATATTTCGTTCGGTGACCGTTTCTCCTTCCCTGCATCTTTCAGTCCCAGCTTGAATTGACAAAGTACCTCCTTGAAGAAGCGTTTCCGGTTTCATCATTCGGGGTTCCGATGTTCTTTCACCTGTATGCGCCTCAATCACCAGGATAAATCCGTCCTCAAAGTTGATAACGTTACTGTGACACATCGTGTCTGATAACACCGTGCTCAGACGCTGCAAGATCCCGGTATATGAACCCACCTTTGTACCCATGACACATCGTAACATCGTAACTGCCTTGCAGCCTACTGCTACCCAGAGAGCCGCGAGTGTGTCAACTGCGGAACGGGCAACACGCCCCTCTGGAGGCGAGACATGACCGGTCACTACCTCTGTAACGCGTGCTCCCTCTTCTCAAAGTCAAACGGCTTCCACCGTCCGCCGCTCAGACAGACCGTGAGGCGGCTGGTGAGTGCTGCTCTGCCGCTCGCTGCATCCCTGAACTGAGTTCACAGCACAGCACGGCAGGCCGCACGAATGCGCCAGCGACTGAGCGACCAGAGCCTGTAGTGTGGTGCATGACCCTCCGTGGCGCTCGCTAAGGCATGTCTCTCGAGGTAGGACCCCCGCTGGACGCTTGTGGCATGACCCGCGCCGTCCGCGGCTGTTACAGCTGGTCCCAGCGAGCTGCAGCCGCTGACCGCGTCGCCGCCGTCGGATGCCGGGTGTCTTCTCCCGCCGCCGCCAGGCACACCGCCGGCCATGTGCCTGCTGACGCCCATGGAGCCGTCGCCGCCGCCGCTGCTGCCACTGAGCACCGTGCTGCCGCCGGCTGCCAGCGCGGGCGCCGTACCCTGCTCCCTCAGCGAACACCAGCAGAAGGTGGTGAGCAGACCCGCCAGCGCCCAGAGGGAGCCGGAGCCCGCCCCTGCAGTTATCGGCGCAGACCGGCACATAGACAGATAGGAACAAATAGCACTGGTGGTGCCCAGTCTCACTCATAGGCAATGCATGTGATTGAAATGGCATGTAACAACAAAATATAATTTTTTGTTAAATGATGGGCAATTTTCATACAAAGAAGTATATATGATGGAATTGATTCTGAAGTATGCTAGAAGTGCTCAAAGGGTGTCCAAAACCTTTAACAATGTGTTGGCTCCATGCATTCAAGTAGGGGAGAGTGGGGCAAAGCGGCCACCCTAACGCTTCTCACGGTGCCAACGCTTGATTTTTAAACTTGGAAAGATTCTTTCTATACCAATGTGATCCCTATTAAGTTGCCTTTCATTTCAAATGCGTTTTATTTCCAAAGGCGTTCACATATGGAAGATATTGACAAAACTTTAAACCTATGCATATTGGCCACTTTGCCCCATACCCTGGGGCAAAGCGGCCACCGGCGTCTTCTCAAGTCCCGATATGAGAAACAAAATAGTTGCCTCATGTACGACTAGGGTATTTGATGGTGACAAGGTTTAACCCTCGCCGGACCTATTGGTTTTCTACATACGCGCCGGCCGAGGGGGGGGGGGGCGGGTACGACCCCCCCCCTCGCCGTTTCGCCCCTGGTGGAGCTAGCGCGTCGCGGAAAAAACGAGCGTGTGCGCCGTTACGAGACGCAGAGATTGGTACCCCATTTTAAGGTCCTAGGTCAACTGGTGACCTCTGAGGTCAGGTCAAGTGCCCCAAGGTACGGTTCAGTTTTTGGTGAATAACTTCGCAAAAAACGGCCGCAGAGCGCCGATTTTGGCAGCATCGTGTTTGTCTCGCTCAGGCGCGTCGAATGATATACTTTTTGTCCGGGTCAGGTCAACTTGGGGTGTTGACCTCAGGTCAAGGTCAGGTCAGCACCCCCAGGTCACGAAGTTGGTCGAAAGGGGTCATGTCGCATATCATTCGATTCGGCAGGTCTTCCTGAGTCCATTGGTGGCTTTCCCGGCTCGCTAGCTCAATTTGATCAAGAGTTATTGACGAAAAACGAATATGACCTTGATGACGTCATAAATGACGTCACGCAAGGTCAACATTGCAAAAGTGACGCATCTAACCTTGCAAGGAGTGCATCAAATCACGATTCTGTGTGCTTGAGATAGTTGGAGATCGTTCCCGGCGCCAGAATAGCAGTTTTCATTTTTCCCCATTGACTTATAATGGTGAGGTCACGAAAATGACCTGACCTCATATGACCTTTAGGAAAAATCCGAGATATACAAGTTGTGAGACTCATAATGGATACTAGATCCTGCAAGTTTCATTTCCCTGTGACATCTCCTCTGGCAGTGAGGGCGTTGCGAAGTTGCGACATCTGAAGACCGTGCAGAGGTTCACTTATGACGTCATAGGTCAGTGACCTGACCTGACCCAAAAATGCGGTTGGTGTCAAAAGATGCGGCTTGGATCAAAGGTCAGGTATGCCAAGTTTCAGCTCTCTATCGCCAGCGTGTTCGGAGCTATCGCGAAAAAACCCTATGGGGGGGGGGCGGCACCCGCCCCCCCCCCCCCCCCTCGGCCGGCGAGGGTTAAGCGAGGATGGATGTTTGCTTTGTTAGCATCCCACCTGTAGGTAAACAAAGAAAGGATTTTCATGAAAAAAAAACATTTAATGGCATTATTTGGTAACTCATGCAACTGAAAAGTGGCCAAGATGAATGCATGACGACACATTTGAATATAAATAATGTTTTTTATCCAGATGGAAACAACTTATGGCCAATTGGGGGGTGGCCACTTTGCCCCGGCCACTTTGCCCCGCGCATACCGTCCGAGACAAAAATATTCCAGCTTAGCTATTAGTGGGGTAAAAAACATTAAAATTGGTAGAATACATGTACGATAACAATGCAACGCATGGACAAGAACGCTTATAAAAATTCCAAACGGTTATGAAATAACATAACATTTAAAAATTGTAAACATAGTTGGTAACCTGGCAAGAAATGCTTTTCCGTGTTTCACAGAACAGTGGTGATGGGCTTGAAACCCCGGTCTGGCTCATTCGAACGACCGTGAAGAGAAGTATAATTGGAAACCATAAATTGGAACTGACGCCAGCTATGAAGGGCTAAAACGATGGGTGGCCGCTTTGCCCCGGGTGGCCGCTTTGCCCCACTCTCCCCTACAGGGCACAAGACAGAAACCATTCAACACATTTTAAATTTCAATCGCTATGCTCCCATTCGCGTGATTGCAAATCTCCCTCCCAGTCATTAAGGTCGGTACGTTTAGCTTTATCTATTGGCATGAGGCTATGGAACGACTACATGCTTCGTGCAGCTTATGCTAGTGCATATTGCATAGTTTCGGATACAAGTGGCAACGCATGCTGGCTGCCGATGGCATTTTAGCTGTATGGAACGCATGGTAGGCTATTTAAAAGGTTGGGCTAGATTAGCAATGCTGCATCGCAACAATGATGCCTATCGGCTATCAATGGCTATCCGGATTGCTGCTACTACGTACATACTTGTATGCTATCAGGCAATCGCAATCAATGCCATTCTGTTTTCGTACTCCATTATTTTGGTTGTCACAGAGCTGTCAGCGTCATAAACGTGGTAAATCTAATCGATCATTCAATCAATCATAGATGACTTATATAAACCCACACCATACGCCTTTTAAACAGTTCGCTGTTGACAGCCTGACATGACCTGACCTGACACGCTGTGATCTGACGTGCGGCAGTCCATGTCTCGACGTCAGGACCAGTCCTGCCACAACTGTCAGACCATGAACACGTCTCTGTGGCGGCGGGACGCCAACGGCAACACGGTCTGCAACGCCTGCGGCCTGTTCGCCAAACTGCACGGACACAACCGACCGCTCAGCATGCGCAAAGACGAAATTCAGGTGAGCTCCACACTAGTCCACAGTCCACCCACCACTCATGGACGCGGTAAGAGGACTTCTGGAAAAATACGCTTTGTGGGTGCGCATTGATATGTAATATATTTGCTTTATGCACGTAAATGTTGATAAATCTCCGCAGACGTAAGCGTTCCAGCTCCCCGAGCCTAACGTTACGATGAAATTACCGCTTTCGCGATGTCAGCACGCTTATTTCTGAGCTAAACGGAGGATCGATTGTGGCTCCTGAGATATGCCGTTGAAAAGGATCAGAATAGAACGGTGCAAATACCACGGTTCGAAGCCGGCGATATCTCTTCTACATACATATATATGCGTGTCTGAAATAGAATTTCCGTTTACCCGCGCTGAGTTAGAAACGTGAATGTTGTGGAATTTTTAAACGTTAGTTTTTAAACGCCAAACCTTGAAGCTCTTCGTCTTTCTTGTCAAAGCATATTTCGATCAGCGGCACTTTGCAAGTCAATTGTTGCATAGCTTGTTCATACTATAAATTGATTATCAATATTGCGGTAAAACGTGCCTATGTATTGTACATTGTAGTCTTAGCCCACTGGCCACCATTGACTGGAAGAGAGGGTGCTTAACGCCCCCTGCCGACTATTCGGGATTACTGGAAAGCTAATAGGAAGCAACATGATCTCATCGAAACTATCTGTAGCTTTCCATACGTCATTTGACCTGACCTCAGAGATCATTTATCAAAATCGGGCACCGGTCTCTCCGTCTCGTAACGACGCAAACTCTTGCTTTCTCCGTGAAGCTCCCTATACCTAGATCAGGCCGATCAGGGACAATGTGATGTGTGTAGTGGGTGTCGGGAGTTCTAAAACTCTCTCCTCTCAGCCATGGCGTACATAAAAAGCAGCAGTCCAGCGAGGGGTTATATGGTACTTGTATGTACACATAGCACTGCTAACTGGACCTTTCTCTCCCCTATCCAGCCGAGGAAGCGAAAGCCTAAGTCGGAGGCGGACGGCAGTGGCCGCAGTCGTCGGAGACGCAACCAGGCCAGCCGCGCCACCATTGGCGTCGACATCGTCAACCGCGCCATGAATGTCGTCGGTCTGACGCAGAACGGGCTGGGCATGGGCTCCATGGCGCAACTGACCCAGTCGTCAGTGATCAACCCGCCGGGTGAGAGAAACGTCCGGGGCGAGGGACGCACTCAGTTGGGAGGCATCGGCAAGGGCCTTGTTCTCTGAGGGCTTGGGGGTTAGGGACTTTGCTATTTTGGATGTATGAAGTACCGAGGAACGAAGCAATGTGCTCCTAGATTGTTGGGGTTATGCGAGCCTGGACAAGCTTGAGTTACCCATGCAACACATGAGTGATAAGTATACCTCCTTTGTCACCATTGAAAGGTGATTGGATACTCTCTGTGCTGTCTTTTTTTTAGTTTAAATTGACAATGCGGGGCACGAAGGAATGCCATGGTTATTGGTAAATGATGGCGTCCGGTCTGTTGTTTCAGTATACCCTCGAGACGACCGGAGCCCGCCCTCCATGTACCACCCCGCCGTGCCGCCGCCGCCACCGCCGCCGCCCGCCGTCGCCTCGACACACCTGATGCTGCCGGCGCTGTACAGCTCCCATTCGGTGACATCACCCGCTCCGGTGACGTCATATCCGTCCTCGGCACACCAGCCGCTGCCGTCCTACAGCAGCGTGAGTCGCTACCTTCAGCCGGAGCGAGGCCCGTCGCCCACCGGCGCCATCTATCGACCCGACAGTCCCGCCACCTATATGCCGGGCGCTAGCGTCTTGCCGAGTAGCTCGTTGCATATGGCGACTACGGCGCTCGATACGTTAAATGATATTCAGGAGATGGTGGCCTGTGACCTGGGCCTAAGTGAGCGCGCCCCGCCGGTGGCGGCACATTGCGGTGCCGAGCAGTACTATCAACACTATTAGTAACACTAGGCGGCGCTGCAGTCCAGGCTTCATCGGTAGGGAACTCGCCGAGGCACTCCGAATGCCCATTTCACCAGCGCTTATATCGGCTTTTGTGATGAAAGCAGCCCACAGTGCGCAGACCGAAGTAATCGCACTATGTGGCGCGATTGTTTCTCGGATAATCACGCCACTGCTTCTTCTTGGTTGTGTTCCTAGTTGAACTGAAGGCCAGGAGTTTGGACATTGTATGATGCTGGACAGTGGACATACGATAGATCGTATACACAAACACTATAATATGAGCCATAACCATTGCCAGTGCTAGTCTGCCAGGCTCAGTGATCGTAAGCAGTGGCCAGTAAAATGCGGACCAACATTTGTCGAAAGTGAAAATGTGGAACCAGTGACTTCTAGTCGCACACCACCGAACTGAACTGCTTCGTCGTTATATTTAGACAAATGCATGTGCTTTGGGGCTATTTGTTACGCGGTTATTTATGGTTCTTGCAGAACATTGATTCTCGCTGCCTGCAAGCAAATCTGCATTGAGTGCTCGGAAATTGGCTACATTAGATCGCGGGAAAGCAGATTTGTACCTACTCTGTGAAACGGCTTTCAACTGAACGAAGCACAACGTAGCTAAGCAGGCGAGAAAACCAAAGAGTGTCAACGCGTATCATTGTCGCCCTTGTCCACTAAACGAAATTTGTATTTGTATTTGTATTTTACATCATCGGCACTCTTCCACTCAAGGTGGCTATTCCGAGCCCTCGTCAAAACAGTAAGCGCGTTAAAAAGACACATAAACAGTTAAACCTGCAAAAGTATAAAAGCACGCTAAAACTAAAAGCACAGCTAAAATGTTTGTATGGTCGCCTATCCATCTAGCTGACTAGGTGACTTTTAATACCTTTCTTAAAGCGCGGACCAGACATGACCTGAAGCTCCGTTCCTATAACATGTTCGTTGTACAGTTTACACGCTCGCTGCTTAAAAGTTCTTTGGCCAAGGCTGGTTCGAACACGCGGTACATGTAAATGACCGGACTGCCTAGTCTGGCGCTCGGAAACATCTCTATTGTACGATATGTCCTGTCGCAGTACCTCAGGCTCACCCCTGCTAATCACCCCGTGTAGCAGACATACGTCGTTCATGTCAATCAACGCACTGACGGGGAGCCACTCCAAATTCCTAATCACGTCGGACACATGATCATACTTCCGTCTGCCAGATATCACTCTGGCAGCAAAGTTTTGCACTTTCTGCAGTCGCTTTAAGCTCGTTTTGCTGGCACAGCCGAATACCTGACTACAATAGCGCACATGTGACATGACTAAGGCGTCCAGTATAGTCGGAAGTACACTTGGAGGAAGCACATGCCTGGCGTGCATCAGGCCGACAAGAACGCCTAAACATTTGGTGACGATATAATCAATGTGTGGTTCAAAGGTCAGTCGGCTATCAAAGATTACACCTAGATTTTTAACAGTTGACACCGGTTGCAGAGTCTCTCCCAGGAACTGCACTCGGACCGGATCCCTCTCGGCAGCCTGTAGCGCCGATCGGCCTCCGGCGACCATCATCTCGGTTTTTGCAGCGTTTATCTTCATGCCGTTCTGGAGAAAGTAGGTGGCCAGAGTGTCCAGGACACCCTCCAGTGCAGTCTGGATCTCTGGCAGCCTCTCCTTGGGTCCTGAGACGACCAGCTGGGTGTCATCGGCATACCTGGCCATCCTGACCAAACTGCCATTCACCTCGGACGGCACGTAGCAGGCGGCGCCGATGGAGGCGATGTTGTACAACATCGGTCCCAGGCAGGATCCCTGGAAGATGCCGATGTTGATGGGGAGCAGCGTCGATCTCTCCCCTCCTGGCACTTGAACACACTGCTTGTGTCCGGTGAGATAGCTCCGAAACCAGCCCGGGTCTATCTGAAGCAGTTGAAGTTGATTCAGCAGGGTTTGATGGTCCACAACATCAAACGCGCGGCTGAGATCAATCAGCGTCAGGATGCTGATGTCGCCCCTGTCTGCTGCTTCCAACAAGCTGTCGTTCACACTGACGAGTGCTGTAGCGGTGCTGTGCTTTTGTCTGAATCCATGCTGCTCCAGGCTATACAGATGGTTTCGGTTTAGATAGCCATCAACTTGACGGCAGACGACCTTTTCGACAATCTTACTGATAACAGGAACGTTGGTGATGGGTCTGAAATTTCCTGCAGTGCTCAGGTCACCTTTTTTGTGCAGCGGTATGACGACTGCGGTCTTCCAGCTGTCTGGTACCGACTCCGACACGATGCTCTTGTTGATTATTTGCAGCAAGATCCGTCCAACAACGGGAAAGCTCAGCTTCAGCACCCTGATGTCGATGGCACCATCAGCGAGCGATGATTTGTCTGGCAGAGAGTATATGATGCGTCTCAGCTCCTCCAGAGTGATCGGGGTGAGTCGCAATGCGTCAGAGTGGACGCGAGGGAGACGGGCAGCCAGAGAACGTCTCCCAGACTCCTGGAACGTCCGGATGACGGCCTGGTGTGTTTCCTCTCCCACGGTGGTGAAGTATGAGTTGAGGTCATCAGCTGACAAGTTCTCAGGCCGGGCCGGAGCGCCGCGCTTCGGCGCAATAACTGCACGTAGCTGCCGCCAGAGGCCCGATGACGGAGCTTCTTCGACTCGCCGAGAGATGTCGCTACGGTAGTCCCGTCTGATAGCGCGCTTCACTTGGGAGTTCAGAGATGCGTACCTCTCCTTGTCATTGGCAGCGATGGCTTGTCGACGTTGGATGATCAGGTCACGGGTGTCATCTGAGATCGGTGGAGGCGCTGGATTCCGTACTTTAACCATTTTCATAGGGGCATGATGATTGAGGACGGACTCAACTGCGTGGATGAATTTGTCCCACTGGATCTCACAGGAATCCGACCTGGGAACTCTCTGTACCCAGTTGATGGCGTCAAGATCTGCACGGAACTGTGTCGTATCGAGCCGCCTCCAGTCCCTCTGTGTGCGGTACACAGCTCGTGGTTGCCGGTAGCGAGGAACGCTGATTTTACCGAGCAGTTTACGATGATGTGCAGTGTAATCGCATATTTCCACGTTGCACTCTGCGAAAGGTTCATTTCTGGATCTTGAATACAGAATGATGTTGTCTATACAAATAATGTGTAACAACGAGGACTCCAGTCCTTTTTAAGATCCGAACTATGAGATTGCAATGGCGATGTTTTAATTTGCGGATAACTATCTTCCGTTACATTCGACTTGATTTGTGCATCTGTCTGTAGTTATCTGTATACATTGATTCACCGCACGGCGCACAGCGCACTGCCTGCCGCCTGGCGTGCTGAAATAATAACTATAAGTTGATAACAATACGAAATTCAGCAGGCATGTGATAACAAAATACGTTCCACAGAGTGAAAGTTCGTAGATGCGTTATAAAGGTTGTGCCACGTACCAGCGTTGCCTGTAAGTGAGGACAATTCGACTGTCTGGCTGCATCCACATAGCACTGCGTGCCTGACAATGCTCGGTGGCCAGTTGCGTTTTTTGACATCCCACCACGCTACTTTCATAATAAATGTGTCTGCTTTGCATATATTCATCTCTCGCACATCTGTCATTCACGCTATGTGAAACTGTTTCGTGTGATCAAATGCAAATGAGGTCAGGCCCGCCCCCTAATTTCGTTTGATTGTGACAGATATATCCTGATCAAACAATTAAGTGCCCTTGAATTACACGCCTTGTTATTTAGTTGGGGTTAGGCGATCACACTTATGCTAAACTAAAGCTGTGCAAATGCGTGCCTTGTACGGCCAAGTCCAGCATGCGGTTGTTAGTTTTATAAGAAAATGTATGAGTGACATTTAGCGCTTTAGCATGCATGTTAGTAATTGCGTTACATACGTGTTATGGTGCTGTCAATTGGATTGTTCTACGAGTATGCGTTTCATTTTTCATTAACCCGCGCCCCAGTGGCGGTCTCCGCCAACTTCGCCCTAGTGAGGGGGGGCATATGTTACCACCCACCTCTAACTCAAAAACTAAGAGGGCTAGAAAGACGCGGTGAAAAGCAGTCGATAGCTCTTGATGCGTACGTTTGAAAGTATTTCAGTCATTTTTCATCTTAGAGCAATATTGGGGTCACCAGAGGTCATCAAAGGTCAAAATTTGCGAATTGTCATTATATTTTTCAGAAAATATGCCATTATCTCAGGAACTATGATAGCTAGAAAAACGCTGGGAAAAGCAATCGATAGCTTTTGAACTCTTCTTTTGATAAGGTCATCATCAAAAATGACCTCAGGTCAACGGTTTAGCCTCCAGAGGGCAAAAACTCCAAAAATAGCTGTTTTTAAGAAAAGTGTTTTTCGACAATAACTTTTGACTAAAAAAAGCTAGGTCATTTCTAATGCCAGAATCGTGTTCCTCTCGCCGAGACGCGTCGAATGAACTATACTTTGACCTTGAAAGGTCAACTTCAAAATTTGACCTCAGGTCAAGGTCATGACCTGACCGAAAAAGGTCATGTTGCATATCAGTCGATGCGTCTCGGCAAGACAAACACAATGAGGCCAACCCCAGCGTTCTATCTCTTTCCAATCGAGAGTTATTGGCAAAAAACTGTTTGTAGCCTCAAATGACCTCGGATGACCTTTCAAGAGGCTATCAGCAAAAAAGACACCTTGGTTGTCACGGGTGGTCCAAATCATTGTTATCCTGAAATATTTGGACTGTTCCAATGCGTACACACGGATCTAGAGGCATTTTCGTTTTTCTCCATTGACTTATAATGGAAAGGTCACGCCACTGACCTGACCTTAGGTCACGCATATAAAAAATCCGAGATATACAAATTGTAGGCACCCATAACATCATGTAATCCACCAAGTTTGAAACCTCTCTGACAAACACTGCAGGCTGGACATGATTGCAAACTTTTTTTTTAGGCTTGGTCAGTTAACTTGACCTAGTGACCTGACCTGACATGACCTGGGGTCAAAAATTTCACACATTGTCCAAAATTGATGTACCAAAAGCGACCCCAAGCAGCGCGGCGCTACGCGCCGCGGTTTTTTATTTATACGAAAAAAACGCGACAGGGTGGTAACATATGCCCCCCCCCCCACTGGGGCGAAGGTTAATCGTCTCAAAACCGAAAAGCGATTAAACAAGCGATTAAAGAAGATAAAATAAGCGGTTTTATTACTTGCGAGATGCCTGCTCCAAAGCTGAGCTTACCTGAGCTGTGTGTGGGTATGCGACTGTGTAACGTTGTCCTCTATGGAAATGGAGCGAGAAGGCTTTTGTTCATTCGTCCTCTATGGTTGAAACTGATACGAATTGTCGTGTGCGTTTATGTATTTGTGACGGTATGTTACGGCTGGGCGAGAGTGGCTCTCCTATAAATACACATCTCATACGAAGAGAGGCATGTGTAGATATATTGGACAGGTATGTAGTGAAGAGCCAGTAGTCTACGAATATATTAAAAAAAACAATTAGAAATGAATAAGCGGACCGGTTTCGTCTATCAAAGACTTCTTCAGCGCTTTTCAAAACGTATAATAAACGTATTAGTACGTTTTTGTAAAAGCGCTGAAGAAGTCATTGATAGACGAAACCGGTCCGCTTATATTCATTTCTAATTGTTTTTTGAATATATTCGTAAACTACTGGCTCTTTACTACGAAGAGAGGCATTTTACATTGATAAATAAACTATCCTCGTGATCTTATCTTCAGCCCTTTTGTAGTTTCGCATGTGAAACTATTAACCGGTTTTCGGATCTACGGGTCTTTTCTCTTGATCAGCAGTGAGCTGGCGGTAGGACCGATATTTCAACGTGGGATTTCAGGTCTCTTGGGTTTCAGAGTTGCATTCCGGTCAACCCTCAGATATTTCATATCGGAAACAAGAATCGCAATTTTTTCCACCCACTTCACTGCGGAAAATAACTCAAGCTAAGGTAATGTCAATCGTTTTTATGATATGCTGTACGTATAAATATTATCGATATCCATCGACATACTAGCAATACTTTATCTAAAAAATCGCAGTAAATCTACTTAACCCTCGCCCGCATATGGGGGGGGGGGGGTTGCCACCCCCCCCAGGTAGTCTTTCTGCTCTGCACTCAACATTTTTAGAGCTAGAAGGCTGATTTTTCGTATAGCTGCTCCTCTATCCTTTCTTGATGTCCACTGAAAATTTCAAGTTTCTGTGGTTTTTGGTTTCGGAGATATGACCTTGTTTTTCAGGTCATGTCATGACCCAAATGGCCAATTCTCAACATTTTGCGTTGGCTATGGGCCTTGTGAGCTTTTGACACCCTGATTTCGGCCTTTTTTGCCAGTCTTACCTCCCACCTATCCTGGAACATGTTGTTCGACGATGTACAGATGTCAAGGTCAGGGTCAAGGTCAACCTAGGTCATCTAAGATAATTGCGTTTTAGGCAAGCTGAATTTACTTTTTGTGAAGTTTTTTTGACTGCATTTTTGGTAAAAGCTTCTCAGATCATGATTTCATGTAATATGGACACATAAACAACCGTTGCACACATCAGTATACACACAGTCACACACAGACATACAAGCACATATCATTGACCTTGACCTAACTTGACCTGAGATGACCTCAGCAGCAAAAACCTGGTCGGGTAGTGTGACAAAGAGGCTCTAGCTGGCTTGGCATCAGAAAACGGCATCGTTATCGGTATATGATAAGCAGCGCAATTGATATCCAACGGTGACCCAAAACAGCAATATTTTTTAGTTTGACCTGACCTGGAAGGTCAATGACTGACCTGAGAAGGTAAAACTGGGTACCATTGGATTCGTCTCTTCCCAAAGAATCTTTTTGGTCTTTACCGCTAAGCTCTATCTCCAACAGGAACGAAATGGCGCGGGGGGGGGGGTGGCAACCACCCCCCCCCCATGTGCGTTCTAGGATGGAAAATGGCATGTGCGGGCGAGGGTTAACTCGTTTAAGCCTTATCAAAAAGCTTCGCAGTTTGAGTCGATTGGTCCCATCAATTAGGCATGTATCTAAATGTTCTGTTTTTGAACAATTACGTGTAACAAGCAAGGAATTCATGCCAGTATATACGTTGAATAAAAAGTCGCTCAAGTCACACTTTTTAACAATGGACGCTTTGTGATGATGTGGAGCCAAAATAATGATCCTAGCTCTAAAACAGATATTGTATCGAGGAGGGACAGTGCGCTGCGCTGAGTGGATGACCTGTGGCAGATTTCACAACAGGGCGTAAACTGCGACTGACGCAGTTTTCCACCCATTTGGTTGCATTTTACGCCCAAATGGTTTCATGACGACACTGCGGAAATAACCATTCGCTGTTTAATTATGATTTCAGAAGTTGATGCATTAAATACATTCAACAATGCATACAATAAATGCAATAAAGTAAAACACATTCAAAATAAACAAATATGTATGTACATACAATATCTGGCGAGTAACACGCCCTCCGATTCTACTAAGTAAAATCACTCACTTCTATAGAGTGTACTTTCTTAGAACGTAAAATACACCTTGATGAAAATGCAACCAAGCTTCATGAACTCGGCCCCTGTATGCTCATCGTACCCACAACCAACTGGGACCCCCACACGGTCCTCCCCTCTCCCTCCACGGGGAGGGGGGAGGGGGCGGGGCCCAGGGAGGTGGCCCGCAGCGGTGGGCCCGGAGGGCGGGATGGAGGGCTAGGGCGGGGTAGCTGGGTGGGCCTGCGCTCCTCCGGCCGCGCCGCGCTGACACTCAGTTTCAATATTGGCTGGCCGAGATAAGTCGGACGCGCGAGATTAGCGTGTTTGCTGGGGCTCACCTGGCCGCTCCCACACGAAATATGACATCGGCGCGACGACAGCGGGCGGGCGGGCCGCCCAGCGCGAGTCTCTGCTGGGCGGCGCATTGGCTGCAATGGAAACACTTTACATCTCTTGTATCAGCACCGCATTCCACTTATCAATTCGAAACGCATCAAATTACTTATGGTTTGATCAAAAAAGGTGAGCTTATTTCTACCTAAGTTTGATAAAGATGTTCTCCTGACCTTAAACGGACATGCTGGATTTTGATCCGTATCGTTGACATAAACTCATTCAAGCTGTTTTCTGTGCTCTAGCACGTATCTACTACTACGACGTAATGGTGCTTTCCGAGACCTGGCTACGTCCGTCTACCCCGAAACGCCTCCTGGTCATTCCGGGCTACTCGCTCAGTCGTGTGGACCGCCCAGATGGCAGCGGTTATGGCGGCGTAGCCATCATCACTAAAAACAGTTTGACGTCAATGACACTGAAGATCCCCGGCAGCGGGAGCTCCGAAAGCAAGCTGGAGTCGCAGTGGGCGCTGCTGAAGCTGGACAAGGGCCAACAGATAATCATCTGCTCCCTTTATCGGCCACCCCGACACTCTGAGGCTGCCCTGCTCGCCGACTTCACGGACCTCGAGGCCCAGCTGCAGCGGGTCCTCATCGATTACCCCAGAGTTCCGTTCGTTCTCTGCGGGGACCTCAACTGTGACCTATTGAAGGGGCCGAATTTCCGCGCGTCTCAACATCTGATCAGCTTCTTATCGAATTATTCTTTAGATCAACTAGTAACAAATCCAACTTTTACCTCCGGCTCTCTATTGGATGTATGTATTGTTAACAAACGCGAACTTGTGTGTGACACCACCGTTAATTATTGTCACTTCAGTCCCCATAAAATCATCGACGTGATTGTCAATGTGCCGAAAGTGCGTCAAAAGCCCGCCGTTATCTCATCTCGCTCTTTTAAGCGCCTAGATCACCCTGCACTGTATCACGACTTACTCGATGTCGACTGGGATTATGTCTTCTCTGCCGAAACTGTCAGTGACAAGTGGCATGCTTTCTTGTCGTTCTTCGTACCTGTTTTTGATGCCCATGCCCCAATCAAGCGTGTGTCTATCCGTAACCCGACCGCTCCTCCCGTCTCCGCCGCCACCCGTAACCTCATGTCTCAACGTCGCGCTGCGCTTCGCCATCTAGGCCGCAACTCGAGCGAATACAGAGACCTAAACCGCTCAGTCCGGGCGGCAGTGCGTCGAGACAGGCGAATAGAGATACGGAGGGAAATTGGGGAGCGGGGCCCCAACAAAGTTTGGCAGTGCATCAGGTCAGTGGTAGCCGCGAAGAAGGACGGCCCAGACATCCAGCCCGATCTATCTGCCGATGATTTAAATTCATTTTTTGTATCTGTCGGTCCTCGTGTCGCTGACGAGATCCGAGCCCAAAACACTCCCACCGATTTGGATGTGCGTCTCACCCGTGTCGGCGCATGCAGTTTTCAACTTCGTGAGATAACACTGGGGGAGCTCGAGCGGATTATTTTCAGCATGCGTAACTCGAGTGCCTGCGGCTCCGATAACGTGTGTGTCCGCATGCTGAAATTCGGATTCCCCGCTATTGGTGCTGTCATCCTGCATATTATCAATACCTGCTTAATCCAATCTGACATCCCCGATTCATGGAAACATTCCACAGTTCACCCTCTGTTCAAGTCTGGTAACCCTTCAGACCCCGCAAACTTCCGACCCATTTCCCTAGTTCCTGTAATCATGAAAGTAGTTGAACGCATTGTCCATCAGCAGCTCTACGCCTACCTCTCCCATAATCACCTTCTGGCATCCTCCCAGCACGGCTTCCGCCCCCGGCACTCCACGGAAACCGCGTTGCTGTCTGTCACTGAACACATCCTGGCCGCCACTGATAGGGGGGATTTGTCAATGCTATGCCTTCTCGATCTCAGTAAATGTTTCGACGTGATTGACCACGATCTTCTGATGCAAAAACTGATGTTACACGGCATTGAAATTTCCTGGTTCGCCGCCTATCTACATGGACACACTCAGAGCGTGTCTTTGAAAGATGTATCCGGACGTAGAGTGCTGTCTAGGCCTCTTTCTAATGTCATGGGTGTCTTCCAGGGCTCTGCGTTAGGGCCGCTTCTTTTCACCATTTTCTCTAACAACTTATCGCTATACGCGGGCGACGCAAAAGTGTTTCAGTATGCCGATGACACTCAAGTATTGGTTAGCGGTCCAGCTCGGGACCTCGAAGTTCTCATCTCGCGCATGGAGGACTCGCTCGCGTCTCTCAACGACTGGTTTTGCGCTAACGCCCTCAAAGTGAACGCAAGTAAAACACAGCTTATTGTATTTGGCACTCGTCAAAATCTTCGTAAATTACCAGACTTTAGAGTACCATTCCGCAACGCAGCGTTGCAACCGTGCGCACAAGTCGGGAACCTTGGCGTCACTTTTGACAGCACTATGTCATGGGACGCACACGTCTCTGAACTCTGCCGCCGGTGTACGGGACTGTTGATTGGTCTTTCACATGCGCGCCACTGTCTCCCAGATGGCATCATTCGAACGC